GGGGTGGCGGGGGGAAGGGAGGACGGCGGGGTGGAGCTGCCCCGAACTCCCCCCCATGTGGCCCTCAGTTCGGAGTGCGGAGGATTAATTTGTTCCGGGTGGGAGGTGAGGCGGCGATTGGCCCCGGGAGCTCCCGATGTGGCGCTGAGCGGGGCGAGCCTCCCATCCTCCACGCGTGGGCTCGCGTCCCCTGTCCGCTTCCAGCCTCTTTGTCAGCTCCTCTTACCGCCCGTCCTGCTTTCTCAGCGCCCCGGCATGGGGGACGGCTTCTCTGCCGCTGTCGTAAGCGTGCCGTGGCCCACGCTGGAGTTTGGGGGGCCCCGGACAATTAGGATGTTGTTGGGGAAGCTGGGCGGGCCGACCCCCACAGGGTGTGTTACGCCCGAGGGACGTCACTGGAGCCCTGGGGTGCGGGTCCACTCTTCTCATAATAGGACAGGAATCCCGAATTTCCTCAGACCCTTCACTTTGTGGACGGTCCCTTAATGGCTTTGCAAACTGATGTCACAAACAGGAGACCGCTCCGCCACCCGTCTCGAAAAGTAGCCACCTCTGGTGTAGGGTGATGGGGAAGGAAAAACGCCACAGGGACAGGCTCTTTTGTTGTTGTTGTTGTTGTTGTCGTTACCGTTTTTTGCCTCTGAGTGCCCCTGATTACTGGATGGAGAAATCCTTTTTTTGTTTTCTCCCCGTCCACCTTTCACCGTCCTTATCCCGCCGTGGGGATGTGTGGTGTGACTTGCTGGCGGATGATGGGGGTCCGTGACAGCCAGCATCACCGGAGAACCGGAACGTGTTGGTTACGTGTGGGTTGCCACAACGGGTTTGAGATCCTACACCATTGTCCTTAAAAGAGCGGACCGTGCCGGTGACCGTTTCCGTTGTGAGCAGCGAGTACTGCTGTCATGTAACTGAGGATGAAAGACCTTAAAATGTACTGTTGCTGATTACTGAAGCCCCTTTTTTGCTAAATGTGCCCTAACTGGCAAGTACGCTTTTTAAAACGAGATTCAAGTTTGTGGACGAGGGGATGCAGGGGTCATTTCCACAAAACATCCAGGGGAATTAGCTGTTCTGTTACAGGTAGCTACCCCAGTCCAGCTTGAGTGTCTGAATTGTTTCTCTACTTAGATTGTAAGCTCCCTGAGGGCAGCAACCAAGTCCTATCGCTTTTGTATTTTCTAAAGTACTGGACACATAGTAGATACTCAATAAATACTTGATTTTTATTTTTTTCTGTAAAATTTCTTTGGCTATTTTTTTTAAGTAGCTGGTTTTCAAAAAATGGTCAAAGGCACTCCTGTGTTGAAACCTGTATTCCTGCACTTTTCCCTGGGTCTCCAACACTTCTCACATGTTGCCCGTAAATACTTTTATTTTCTAAGGAAAAATACTTAACGAGATTCTTCCTCTCCACTGTGATAACTCTGGGTATGTGTCCCTGCTTGCTACGAAAAGGCTACTAATTTTGCGCCCTCCAGTGATCCATCCCAGATCATTTAATTTTGACCTGCTGCTCAGTGTTGTTACTACCTAGGTGGTAAAATTTTCTTAGTCGCACATTTCAAAGCACTTGTAAGAGAGAAATTGAAGTTAACAGAGGGAGTCTTCTGGACTGTTCTTTTTTTTTGTTTCATTTTATTTCCCTTGAGTCATTATGTGGCTTTCAAGATGACTTTTTAATATATCTACATTGACCGGTATGGTATATGGAGTTCATATTGGTAGTCACAGCATTCATATCTAGTATTAACTTATTAACTTGAAATCACACGAGAAGTAGAAAGCAGTATTTGTAAGCTACAAGAGTGTTTATTCCCATTAGAGATTTCATTTTAGAGCCAATTATTTAAAAGCATAATAGTTTTCGTCTAATTTTAATTTTTTTCTTTGATTTGAATCCAGGGGTACTGGTTAAAGAACACGTTTTTTTGGTGTGTGTGTGAGTGTTGAAACTTGACTAGTCTGGGAAGATGGACTATCTGTGTAGCAAATAGTTTTGTAGTAGCTAGAAATATTTACAGGCCTTTGTGTGCACATATGTAGCAGAAAGAGGTAAGGGTTAAAGAATTAGCTCTGAAATTTTCTTAAAAATTTTGGTGAGAAGGTAAAACTCTTCAGTCTGAATGACTGCATCAAAAGAGAGACCTCTGCAGCCTCTTGATCCGCTTTGGTGAAGAATTTATCTTCAGGGAAGTTCGTTTTCTTTGAGACCTGAGAAACAGTAAGATTCACTTCCCTAATAATTAATCCGTCTGTATTTCTTTAGAGGCCCAACCTATGTCTCTCAAATCCAGCAATGGCTTTTGGGGAGTCTAGAATTATCCCGTATAAAGTTTCGTTAATGAAAAAAGTTACATGTAGAGCAGAAAATATAAACGTATCCTCTTTGGAAGGGAATAAAACCATGCAGATTAACATCTGATTTTGAGCCACTCTGTCGTAGGATGAGTATTTTCTTTGTTTACTCACCGCAGCAGCTGAGGTTGCGGTATAAAGCAAAGTATGAACGGAAGGAACTTAAGTTCAGGAGAATCGTAGCCTGCTGGAAGTGTTAATAACAAAAACCGTTCTAGTTTTGAGAAGGCCCTGTGTGTTTTCTGTCTCAACAAAGTCCTCTCGCTGGCAGTAATGTCTCGTTTAAAATGATATCCTAGAAGCCCTTTCTTGCAAATAAAAACTTTGTGCCAGACCCTTTTGGTTTGGGACAGATTTGGAATTCTCTGTATATTAAGGTGAGTGGTAAAGGGTAATTGCAATTCTGGTGCCTCAGAACAGTGGACTAGGAGAGCAACAGAAAGTAGTTGCAAAAATAGTGTGTTGGAATTATCCAGGGAACTGAGATTCTTGAGCAAAGTCACTGGGGCTAATACTTGCCTTGTTGAAGGTTATGGAAGCACCCACTGCATGACGAGAGAGACAGACAGAGACAGAGAGAGCACGCGCGAGCTTGAGGGAGGAAATCTAGACTTGAGCTTGTCCTTTCCCAAGTGATGGGGGTTGCATGCAATTTACATATTGTAAGGGAGGTAGGGCTGTTTTCATAGGTAGATTGAGTTTCTCTATTTTAAATTGTTTTTATTTGTTTGGAGTATAGATTAAGTTCCCTTCCTGGAAGGCTTTTGTTTCCAGGTTTTGCTGATTAGCTTTCCTTTTGTCAAAGGGGCTTTAGATATTTGTGTGTAGAAAGCTTTGGATTATTAACATTGTTTTACGAAACTTCACAAAGCTGCATATAGGGACTAGTAACCAAACCATGCGCATGACTTAAACCGGCAGTCACCTATGCTTTATATATTTCTTCTATAAAAATGGACTACTAACAATTGTTCCTTAAGGAATTTATCAAACTGAGTATGTCTCAAGAACAGATGACTCTTCTTGGTTGGTGAACATGTTTGGTGAAGGTGCTGATGAAAGAGGTTGAAAACCTGTTTTGCCCATATTTAATATCTGAATTTTTTTTTAATCTTTCAGTATTCTACCTTGTAAATACTGTTATTTGTATATACTGTAAATGATGACGTCGGTGGGCACGAACCGAGCCCGGGGAAACTGGGAACAACCTCAGAACCAAAACCAGACACAGCACAAGCAGCGGCCACAGGTAAAGAACCCAAGGGATGCATTGCCAGCATTGCTGATTGATACTGGTTCCCACCCAGTGCAGCATCATTCTCTGCTCTGGATTATTGGTTTGCATTTTTTTTTTTTTTCTAGTCCTTGCCTCTCCTCTTTACTTAGGGCCTGATGACTGTTGTGGTAGGCCATGATGAGCATGCTTGCTTTTTGTTTTTTGATGCTGTATTATGAGACTTGGAGAGAAGGGGTCCTATACTTTGCATCTCTAAGGTAGCGTTTTCCTCAGACTAAATCTTAGGTTATCATCAGGCCAGATATAAGAGGGTGGCATTGGTCCTTGCAGAAACAGGAACGGGGTTTATACATGACTTTGCAAATATATTAATGTCAATTATTTATATTTAAGGCACGGATGTTTAAAAGAGGTGCTGTGATCCCACAATGGGAGCTTCTTTAACTGTGAACATTGGTGAAAAAGCTCCCTGCTTTTTTAGGGATTGTAGAGTGGAATGGTAACAGGTTCATTGTTTATTTTTTTGTCATTTTGCAGAAGTAAGCATCTTAACTGGTGTTAGCACTTTATTGGTCATTTGTAACAAGGAGAAGGAAATTGGGCTGAGAGGTGGGGTGGATTATTGACTACATAGGTCCCTCTTATTTCTCTAAACTGTCGTCTCTTGATCATGCTTTCTTGAACTCATCTCCATTCTTAGGCCACTGCGGAACAGATTCGACTTGCACAGATGATTTCAGACCATAACGATGCTGACTTTGAGGAAAAGGTGAAACAAGTGAGTGTATTGCTAATTGCTGGCAGTGATGGAAAAAGACATCAGGATTAAAGCATAGTTTAACATCATAGATGTCTGTTAGGGTACTTTTTCCTGCAGATATTAAAAGAATTATGACCTGAAACATAATAGGTTAAGCCAATAAATAAATGCTCTCGTTGTCTGATTTACCGTACTTCTTTAGACAGCTACCATGTTCGGAAAGGTTTTGTCTTAATTTTCACTTCTTGTTTATTGGATGATTTTGTTGATGCCATTTTTATAGCAACTTTGAGCAGTTGTGGCATCTAGGAAATGTAGAAATTTATGGTATGCTGAAACCTGTGTGCTTCTGGGTTTGATCTCTACAAGCTACTTTATTGTGTAAATACTTTTGACATCATCTGTAATCACAGGCGTTAATGTTTTGCTTATTGAGCTAGAATACCAAAATTCTGCATATTTTGCTTTTTTAAGTCTGGGGTTCTTTCGGATTCAGCTGGTGTCTTCTCTCTTCACCTGGCTTCCTTTTATGAAGAGTGCAAGTTCGTTCATGTTGCTGATTTTTTTCTCTTTCAGTTGATTGATATCACAGGCAAGAACCAGGATGAATGTGTCATTGCTTTACATGACTGCAATGGAGATGTCAACAGAGCCATCAATGTCCTACTGGAAGGAAACCCAGATACGGTAGAGTGTTAATAGAGCGTTCTGGAAAGTGGGTCCCTGGCTGAGAAGCTCAGAATATTCTAAAAATAGCAAGTGGAGTAACTCAACTTAAAGGAGAGTACCTTATTCTCCAAATGGAGCAGAGAACAGTCGAGGAGGTTGTTTTCTGCAGGTGGCAAGTACCTAAAATCTATGTACAATAAATAGAAAACAGATAAAATCCATCTCTTTAAAGATTTTTTTTATTATTAGGTTTGTTTATTTTGAGAGAGCGCAAGTGGGGGAAAGGCAGAGAGGGAGACAGAATCTGAAGCAGGCTCCGAGCTATCAGTGCAGAGCCCGACGTGGGGCCTGAACCCACGAGTGTGAGATCATGACCTGAGCTGAAGTCGGACGCTCAGCCGAGTGAGCCCCCCAGGCGCCCCAAAATCCATCTCTTTTAATTAGCCCGGAGTAAATTATTCATTCCAGGCTAGTGACTGTTTTCAAGACTGGGTTAGTCTGAATTAGAAATGGTATATAGCCTTTGTTACTAATATATATATAGCCTTCGTTACTAATCAGAGAACATTCTGCTCACCTGTTTTATTGCTGTTGAACAGAGTCACAAACTGGTAGATTCTGAATTCGAGACATTCTCATCAATATCACCTTTACATCTTACAGTACGTTTTCATCGCTTGAACTTATTTCTGTTGAGGTGGCAGAAAAAGAGTTAACGGCCTGTTGACTACCCTGGAGATGATGGGGCTCCTGTTGTCTTGGAGGAGCGCTTACCCTAGAATTTCACTTATTTCACCTCTTCTCTTTTCTACTTAATGAGATCCCTGTAATTTTGTGCTTATCATTGTCCCAAATTGTCAAGTCCTTTAAGAACAGGGATTCTGCCTTACTAACCTTTGGGGTGTTCCTGTGGTGCTTAATAGAGAATTGTTTTGTTTCAATGAGCAGTGTATCATTTTGAACTAATTTTCAGTTCCTTGGTCTTACATTGGGGATCTTTGGTTGGGATAGATACCCAGACTTTATCCTTAGAGAGGTCAGGTTACTAGTTTTAGAGTATCACGTTAACTAAATGTTGGGGGGTTGTCACTTTCCTTGAGACAATAGGAAATAATAACGGAAAACCTTGGGAGCAGGAAAGGGGCAGGAAGAGAGGGAAAATCCCAAGCAGACTCTGTGCTGTCAGTACAGATCCCACAAATCACAAGATCATGACCTGAGCCGAAATCAAGAGTCAGATGCTTAACTGACTGAGCCACCCAGGTGCCCCATTGGAAAACTTTTTGTAACCACTGAATTTAAATTTGTGGATTTTTCTCTTCAAAAATGTGGTATTAGGGTACCTGGCTGGCTTAGTCAGTAGAGCAGGCAACTCTTGATCTCGGAGCGTAGACTTTACTTTAAAAAAAAAAAAAAGTGTGGTCCTAGATTTTACATCATTGACCTTATCTGAAGATGACTGCCTGGATAATCAGATAATAGACTCTTTGGCTTATTTTGAGTTTACTTTAGAATAATTGTGCATGATTTTGGGATAGGGGGTGGATGTAGGAGTACTTACGCCTTTTAAGAGTTTAGATTTTTTTTATTTTTGAAGTTTATTTTTGAGGGGAGAAAGAGAAAGTGCATGCATGGGCAGGGGAGGGCAGAGAGAGAATCCTAAGCAGGCTCTTTGCTGTCAGTGCAAAGCCTGATGTGGGGCTCCATCTCACAAATTGTGAGATCATGACCTGAACCTGAATCACAAGTCTGACGGGGCACCTGGGTGGCTCAGTTGGTTAAGCATCCAACTTTGGCCCAAGTCACAATCTCACGGTTCAAGAGTTCAAGCCTTGCATTGGGCTCTGTGCTGACAGCTCAGCTCAGAGCCTGGAGCCTACTTCGAATTGTGTCCGTCTCTCTCTCTGTCCCTCCCCTGCTGTCTCTCTCTCTCTCTCTCTTTCTTTTTTTTCAAAACTAAACATTTTAAAAATATTTAAAGGGTCTGATGCTTAACCAACTGAGCTGGATTTTTTAAAATTAATTAATTTGCAAAAGTCACGTTTTGTTTCACCTTTCACCGTCTTCTGCCTAGTGCTACAAATCTAACCTTCTATGGTGTCAAAAAGGAAAATAAACTGGAGAACATAGGCTTATGCCACAAATAAGTTGCTAATGAAACGAGTTGGGAGTAATATTTGCTGCCAGGGGGTGTTGGATGTATTTGGGTAGATGAGATCGTATCAGAAAATGGCACCACCCTTGGGAAGATCATAGTAATTCCTTTTCCTTCTAGAACCCAGGTAGTTCCAGCAGCTGTGCATACCATAGAGAACGGAAAAGGGGACAGGTTTCTGAAACTTGACAGGTTTTGAGATAGACCAGCTGAAAAGTCTATAAGCTATTTTTTTTTTTTTTTAACGTTTATTTACTTTTTTGAGAGAGAGACAGAGTGCGAGTGGAGGAGGGGCAGAGAGAGAGGGAGACACAGAATCCGAAGCAGCTTCCAGGCTCCAGGCTGTCAGCACAGAGCCTGATGCAGGGCTTGAACCCACGAACCATGAGATCATGACCTGAGCTGAGGTCAGATGCTCAACCAGCTGAGCCACCCAGTTGCCCCTATAAGCTAACTATTTTGAATGTAGTTTCCAGGGTTCCTGCTGCAGATTTAATTATAATAGTGGCACTGTTACTTAAGAATTGATGCTACTGTGAGCATAAAAAGACTCAGGAGCTATAATGTGGAATGAGCTTGGACTGGAAGAGTAGGCAACAAGGAGCTACCGGGTCCTGGGTGGATAATTTTTTCAAAAACTATTAGTAAACTATTGTAGGCTCTTTAGAACGTGTGGGTATGATTTTGGTATTATTTTAAATGTAGTTTTTAACTTAAGTTTTTTAAGTTGTAGTAAAAATGTTTAAAATGTATAATTGTAACCATTTTTAAGTATATAATTTAGTGCCATTAGGTACACTGACCATGTTATGCAGTCATTACCTTTATGCATCTCTAGGACTTTGTCGTTTCCTAAACAAAAACTGTATCCATTACACAGTAACTCCCCCTTTCCCCATCTTCCCAGCTCCTAGTAACCTTTTCTATTCTCTGTCTCTATGAATTTGCGTATTCTAGGTACCTCATGTAAGTGGAATCATGTAATATTTGTCTCTTTGCGTCTTCTTACTTAGCATAGCGTTTTCAGAGTTTGTCCATATTGTGGCATGTGTCAGAAGTTCACTCCTTTTTAATGCTGAAAAATATTTCATTATATGTGTATACCACATTTTGTTTATTCATCCATTTATGGACACTTGGAATTGGCTGGAAGTAAGTTGTAGACATCACAAATCCTCTGCAGCATGCTTCCCTTAAAGAAGGATATTTTTCTGTATGACCATGTTATCAATCCTGGAAAAATTAATAGCCGTTTTGTATTCTACTTGGTCCATATTCTTGGAATCAGTTGACTGATATCAGTTAGCTGTTGCGGAGCACTGGGTCATTGTTGTTTGAGTAAGATGGTAACTAGGATAGTAAAGATATGGTAGTCTCGGTGTTTGGGAATTTTTGTACATATTTTCTGCAAAAATAATTGTGAATCAAGGTGTGTGTGTTTATAAAATTCATTTTTTGAGGAATGAGGTTTTTTTGCAGGACTTTTTAGCTTATTTTCCTTACCACGAATTTTCCCTTCTGCAGTCTGGAATGAATTATAGATTATTCTGCTTTGGGGAAAGTTTAATTGGGTTATATCACTTTAGGGAGTATAGGGAGAATACAGATGTAAAACCTGGAACAGAAGGCTCCCTGTAGTCCACTGTGTCCGGGCCAGGGCTATGCCTTCCTGGCTGTTACTTCGTCTTTAAAGCAAAGGCAATTGGTGTGTGTGTCAGGGAGTGGGGCTGGGGGATGGTGGTGAGGACTAGGTGTAGTTCTTATTCTTCTAAATGCTGGGTTGTTTGATTAGAGAATGTGCCCAAGAGTCAAATGCTATTGATTCATTCTGAATTCAAAGTTAACCTTTAGAAACTTTTAGTTTCCTTTTCTCCTTTGACATGAATAAGACTGTGTATGAAAAAGTTAGGAGTCACTGAATCTGAAGGAAATTAATTTTTTCAGCCCAGGAAACACACTTGAAAGATGGGGACCAATAACTAGGCCTTTGACTGATACGCCACGTGACTGCACCGGATCCAGATCTTGGCAATCCTTTTGGAAGCAATCCCTGCAGTCCATTAGCTATAAGCGCCTCCCCTATAAGAAGGACTTCAATTTTTCAGTGATAGGTATAGAATTTGTTTTGAGGTTCTGTCTGTACCCTCCATTTAAGCAGACATAAGTTAGTGGAAGTATCTTAGATTTGGATGATGAGAGGAGAATGGTTAACAAGTTTCCCAGCTTTTATCTGTGGTTTCCCGATAGCAATCCATATTGATTAGATGTGAATGCTCTGCCCTTCTTTAGCATTCGTGGGAGATGGTCGGGAAGAAGAAGGGAGTCTCAGGACAGAAGGATGGTGGCCAAACGGAATCCAACGAGGAAGGCAAAGAAAATCGAGACCGTGACAGAGACTATAGTCGGCGACGTGGTGGGCCACCAAGACGGGGGAGAGGTGCCAGCCGTGGACGAGAGTGTATGCATGGGGCTTTAACAAAACCAGCTGTGGGTCAGTAATGTCTGGATTTCAGGGATGTCAGGGCCCTGGTAGGCTGGACCTAGTAACCATTATATCATCCTTCTGATTTTTTTCTTGCCACCATTTATTCTGAGACCTTGGTATCTCTTACATGTAGCGTTTTCTAGCTACAGCTACCAGTTTGGCATGAAATTACCTTGCAGTCATTTATAAAGTTGTCTGACTTCTAGCTCTCTGTTGTGGTTCATCACCTTTCCCCTGGTAACCATCATGTCCCATCCTTCCATCTCATTATCTCCTCTTGGTTTTGTCTCCCCACCACCATCTGTATGTGCCACTTATATATTTACATAAATTCCATTGACTCTGTTTTGGCTATCTGTGTTTTTAATTTTAGTTCGGGGTCAGGAAAACGGATTAGATGGCACTAAGAGTGGAGGACCTTCTGGAAGAGGCACTGAACGAGGCAGAAGAGGACGTGGCAGAGGCAGAGGTGATCAGTTTCTTAGGGGGTTGGATATTGGGGGCAGGGTATTCTTATTAGTTCTGTAGGGGTCGTCTTTATTTGAAAACAAATTCACATGACATCTCATTACCTAAATTGTTGAGAAATCATGCAAATTCTAGAGGTTGCTGAGTGAGCAGTGGGAAAGAAGGTAGGTGTCATTTATGTTAATGTATTTGCTTAAGGACCCAGAAGCTTGGTCAGCAAAGGAACAATCTGTCAATAGTAGTGATTGCCTACTGTGTTATATTAACTATACTACAGGGTGAAAGAAAGAACATCTAATAATATCAACCACTTACTATTCCAGAGTTGCCTCAATTGGCAAGGTACTTTTTATATCAACTTTTAAAATATTTCTCCCTTCCTCTCTTTGTGTCTTTTTTTCCTTTAAGGTGGCTCTGGTAGACGGGGAGGAAGGTTTTCTGCTCAAGGAATGGGGTAAGTTTCATTGATTTGATGTCACAGTCTTTAAATTTTTTCCCCCTAATCATTACCATAATATCCTAGAGCGGCTAGTGTCCTGATACCCTGAGGATAATGTGCAGCCTTAACCAAAATGTGATCAGAAAGATTTCTAGACCACTTAATCAGATGAGTGTGTAGATGTAGTGCTGGAGATAAGCATTTACTACTTGGATCACCTCTAGCTCATAACTTCATTTGAATGCATGTATCTGCTGTTTTCCAAAATTCAGTGTGGATTTTATTATGATTATAGATGTCCTAACCCAAAATAGGTAGTAGACATAAATTGAGATTATTCCATGGGATTGTTCATTTTTGCTGGTGCTGCTTGGAGGTCACAGACTCTTTTAAGCTATTTTTCCCCACACCCTCAGAACCTTTAACCCAGCTGATTATGCAGAACCGGCCAATACCGATGACAACTATGGCAATAATAGCGGGAATACGTGGAACAACACTGGCCACTTCGAACCAGATGATGGGACGAGTGAGTGACTGCTTATTGTTTCTGGTCTTTAAAAACCTAAGGAAATAACTATTTTGAGGTTATGGTCATATTAGAAAGTGGAGGAATAGTTTTTGGTGCAGAGATAAGGGAGGAAGGGATGGCGATCGAAATACTGTGTGTTCTCCTTGCTGACTGTGTGCCTGTGGGCACTTTACACGTGCTGGTTCTCTTGGTCTTCATCAGTCACCTGTGAAATTGACACTGTTCGTCATCTCCACATGCCAAACCTTACACTCAAAGGGTGGTCATGAAATTTGCTAGTATTTGAACCCTAAGAGCCCATGCTCTTTCTGTTACACCGTGTGGCTGCCATTAGCTCCAGGTGCATTTCCTAGTGTTTCTGTTAGGGTTTCTAGTTTTGCCTTTTGAAAAAGTATTCTTAATTAATTAGTTAATTATGTCACCACTTGTAGAGATGAACAAGGCCCAGAATCAAAGCCCACTGTCAGTTTGTTTTCTGGCACTGAGATAATACCTTTTTTACCTTCATTTTTGGAAAAATCTCAGTATCTGGGCAAGAAGGAAGCTGCAGCTTTCTAGCTGTTTATTGAATAGTTTTCTGGGTGTGGAAGAATATTATGGGATTTGAATAAGGTTGCTTTTTTGGTTAGCTGACTTTTGGTGTTTGTGTCTGAGTAGGCTATATATATTTAAGGGTATGTTAGGCTTGTGGGACAGACAACCCCCAATGTGTTTGGGAGTGAAAGATACTTTTACCCCTTTAAGTAAGAACAGTCCCTGGGCTGCGGAGTATTGTATTCTTACAAGATCCCCTGCTTCTTTGTGGCTGAGCCAGCACAGGAAGAACTTGAGACTTTTTTCCCTTATAAAGGGGGGAATGAGTTAATAGTAGAGTGTGAATTCAGCTTTTTAACCCCTTATCTATTTATTTGCTTTGCCCCTTTTCAAAGATCATTGATGTTTCTCTCTCTCTTTAGGAGGGTCTCTGGCACAAACAGTTCATCTATTGCCCACAAGACGTTATACCTCAGGTCCTGAATGTTATGTGCTTTTAATTTACCAGCTATTTTACAAATCCGTTTTAAATACAGTTATCCCATTGATGGAGGCTGAAGTTGAGTTATTGACAAGATGGAAATCTGTTTTAATTCCCGGACCATTTGGCTATGAACTGTCTTTTTGTTATTTTAGGAGGTATAACGCCACTCTTGATGGCTTGTAGAGGCAGTGTGGTAGCAGTCTGAATACCAGAAGTGACTGCTTTTGAGCACTAGTTTTTGGGTATTTGGCTTTTTTCTCATTGGCAGAAAAGATAATAGACATTAAGGGATTTGCTTTCAGTTGTGGATAGAAAATCAGGCATGGAGTCCCAGTCCTAGATTGCAAGCCTTAGCTGTTTTCAGCAAGGATCTGGTTTGGAAAGCAAGGAAGGATGAGGTGTGTGTTTATTTATACTGAGGAGAGAATAGCAGATTTGGGAGGTTAGAATCCGAAATTGGATTTGTGGCTGAATGAAAAGCTGTCTGATGCTGATCTCGTCTTGTGCGTGTGAACGTGTTGGGTGTAGCTTCATGCGTTCCTGCTGTTGTTAATTTCACAATACGAAGTGACATTCATGCATGATCTCTTTTTGTGTTTTCATGATAGCAAACTTCAAATTCCCTTTTTTATTTAAAAAGAAATTGAAACCTACCCTTAAAATATCCACAGGTACAGTGGGAATTGTTTTGGGGCAAATGTTCTCATTCAGAAGCAAAATTTCACTGCTTGTGTTTTTTTTCTTTTTTGTTTCAGGACTTGATTTCAGTGGGGTTGAGGGGTCAAATTATCCCCGAAAATTTGAGACTGCTCCTGGTATGATACATCCAGGTGCCTAACTGCCCCGGATATTTTTATAGATTTTTATGAATTGGAATATCTGTGGATATGTCATTTTTCTGTTTCCCTGCTTTTTTTTTTTCTTTTTCTGCCTTTTTTTCTCATATTCTGTGCCTGTTTTTTCTTAAAAATTTTTGATCATTTAATGACTATTTAACATTTACATTGACTGCTTTCTGCTGACAGAATGGAAACCCTTACCTATCGCTCAGAGCCTTAGCACTCCTACTGTTCTTTCGTGCCTTTTCAGTACAGCCTTCTTGGCCATGACTGTGCATCTTGTCTTGGATCAAGTAGGCATCTGCATTCTTCCTTTGCGTCTTAGACTAGTCACGAGAGTGCAGGAGAACATTGCTGTCTTGACAGAGAGCCCGTCAATAGGAGATAACTTCTCAGGTCACTTCCAACTCCAGGATTACGTATATGTGTTAACCCAGATCTTGGGTTCCATTTATCCAAGGCAGGTTGGATGTCAATGGAGAGGAAGAGTAGTGTCACCAAAGAGGGAGAGAAGAATATGGTTTGTAATTTGTCTGAACTGAAATTGGACTTTAGTGTGATTTGGAGAACGTTGCCATTATTAAGTGGTTCGGAATTTCCCTTGTGCGGTTATAAGTGGTCCTGGAAGAAGCATTATAATGACTGTCTTTTTCTTTATGAAATAGGGTTCTAAAGATTTTATTTTTAAGAAATCTCCACACCCATTGTAGGGCTTTGAACTCAATCCTGAGATGAAGAATCTCATGTTGTACTGACTGAGCCTACCAGGGGCCCCTAGAAGAATTTCATATGGGAATATAGGTATTAGAATATTTCTCTTCGGTGACAGTGAATATCTGAATGCCAGATTTTCATTCTTTTTTCTTTTTCTTAAAATTTTTTAATGTTTATTTCTGAGAGAGGGAGAGTGTGCATGAGCAAGTGGGGGAGGGGCAGAAAGAGGGAGACAGAACCTGAAACAGGCTCCAGGCTCCGAGCCATCAGCACAGAGCCTGATGAGGGGCTCAAACTTGTGAACTGCGAGATCATGACCTGAGCCGAAATTGGACTCCCAACCCACTGAGCCACCCAGGAGCCCCAGACTGTAATTCTTAAAAGAAGTTTTCTCGGGGCGCCTGGGTGGCGCAGTCGGTTAAGCGTCTGACTTCAGCCAGGTCACGATCTCGCGGTCTGGGAGTTCGAGCCCCGCGTCAGGCTCTGGGCTGATGGCTCAGAGCCTGGAGCCTGTTTCTGATTCTGTGTCTCCCTCTCTCTCTGCCCCTCCCCCGTTCATGCTCTGTCTCTCTCTGTCCCAAAAATAAATAAACGTTGAAAAAAAAATTTAAAATAAAAAAAGTTTTCTCCATTTGGAGAGAAGGCTTGAAGAATTGATCAACATGTACTGTTGTTTTAGAGAAGAAAATAAGGAGTGTTCTTGTCCTGTGCATTAGTCAGGTGTTACTTCTTACTGTGGTCCTTCAGTTGAAGGGAAGAATCCTGCTTCTCGTAGAACAGTTTCCTTTTCTGAGGATATACGTACACATGAAGCAAAACAAGGGGAGTGTGGAAGGTGGTTTTACTGCTGATGGAACTTTCCTATAGAAACCATCCTGACTTTGTTATGACCAACACGGAGCGAGTATACGACTGCGTTGTCTGCGCTGTGCCCTTGGCAGGTTAGAGGTCACGTTCTGTAGGATTAGGACTAGGATAATAACAGACATGTTTGCTTTTTCAGTTTTGTCCAATGTCTTCTGAAAAGGCGTGGAAAAGAACAGACTCATGAGGGTTTCTTACGGTTTGACCAGTGAGATCGATACACTTGACTTCTGCTGAGTATGCATTTTTACATTGAGTTCTGATAGCAGTAGTTGTCAGTGCCCGCAGTTTGGAAGCCTGTCTTCCGCTGCCCTTCCACTGCCACATGGCAGCCATTCGTGTTCCCCCCGTCACCGCCACTCTCTCTCTGCCCATCGTGCTGTCTCCTACCAGGTGAGAAGGCGTAGTGTACATTCTGGTGTAAATTGGCTGCTGCTGTCACTTGAGTTGACCACTAAGGCAGAGGGCTTGAGGGGTCTTAAGAGGTTGCCTGGAGCATTGGACCTGTTGCCCCTCGCTCCCCCACTCCTCACTATCTCTGCTGTTAAAGCTGTGTAACAAAGCCTGGAAGTAGGTGTGAAGTCATAATCCTATGAAAAACCCTGGTCTTCTGACGTATCCCTTTCTAAATAGTCTTTTCCTCCCCCCTGGAACCTAGGAATCTCTTCTGATTACTAAAATCTGGTTACTCTTTCGGCTGCCGGAACTATTTTAATACATTAGTGTTTTTGCACATGCTGTGTACTGGCACTTAAGTTACTTCACTGTTTTTCCTTTATTGCCAGGTGCGTGGAGGACCGCGGCAGAGGAGTGGGGGACTGAAGACTGGAATGAAGACGTAGGTATTCCCGGGTCACTCCTCACTAGTGCTTTCTATCCCTTAGTGGTGTTTAGGGATAGAAAATGGGTATATTTCTACCCCTTCAAAATTCACCCTTAAGATTCTGACCCAAAACTTTTACATCCAAAATAGTGTTCTGAGCCAGAACATTTCACATATGTTATATGAAGGAGACTGGGCATGAACAGAACTCTATGGAACCAGACTATGGAAAGGGCAAGTGCACCTGTGTAAGTCCAATGTCTGATTGTCGGATTTATCCCAGCAAGAGATGGTGGTTGGGTAGAGCACCAGAAATGGAGTTAGGCAGGTAGTGCCTTGAGTAACAGCTGCTGGTGGCCCATGACTTCTCTTGAGCCAGTTCGGCTATTTAGTTCCTATTCGGGCACTGGTGTTTGGTCCTGTGATTGGCTTAGAGGTGGGTGCGAAGTGAGAGAGTACCGCATCCTCGAATTCACAATCTGGTTGGTTCTGAAGCCCAGCTTCATAGTTGAGATGAAAGTATAGATCTTCCAGCGTGACTCAACGTGGACAGCTCAGTCATGGGTGTCACAGAGGTGGCACATAAGCCAGCACTCTGAGCTCACTGGAGTAGCACTTGAGTAAAAGAATTCTGCTCGTTCTTGGTCACAGTCAGGATTTTGTTGTGAATTGTAGTTTTCAGTGATCATGGATTAAATCCTGTTTTAACATTTTTTCAGTCTGCTTTCTATACTTATATATATTTAGGCAAGGCAGCTTTTATGGTGACATGGTGACCACACTTTGGGTTTGCCAGACCTGAGTGTTTAAAATTTCAGATGCATCAGCATTAGAGGATGATTTCTTTTCTGTTGTAACTGAGCAGCTAGACTGCCTCATGAATACTTTCTAGGATTTGGTTTGGTCTGTTTAAGCAACTTTCAGAGAATGATATATTTGGGGAAGTGGATTCCCTGTTTTTGGAGAAGAGATTTTAGTCAAAAAGTGAAAACAAAACCAAAGCAAGTTTTGAATGGTGGAATGAGTTATTCCCTACAATTGTTTACCTAATTTTAGGGTCTTAGAATGCAAAGGGTAGGTGTAATAAAGTCACTATTAAGGCAAAAATTGCATATAGTTGAAATCATCCCTACAGAGACCCTAATTCACCAGCACTTGGGTCCTTACTGCTCAAAAGCCAGGAATGAATTTCTTTCATTTTGTCTTTGTCTTGGCTGTAACCTTTCTTTCTTTGAGAGGAGCAGTGGAAGATAAAGTTTGGTTTGGGTAAGGGTGTGAGTTGGGAACTCTAATGGGAAAGTATAAAAGGGTTTTCTCTCTTTTTTGTAGCATGTGTATTCAGCTTTCTGTAAGTTCAGTGTGCATATCATGTGACTCCCATTGTATTTCATAGGGTTTCTTGATTTTACACTTTTGATAAAGTCATATCTAGAAGGGTAGTGGAGGTCAGTCCATGTAGGTTCCTCCGGCTAGGTGGTTTTCTCTTCTGAGCGTTTTCCCTTTTCCTTGGTGTTAAGTTCCCCTTACCTGAGCCAGGTTTCTGACTGTAGTCCACTTAACACCAGAAGTGACTAATCCTTCTGTTTTCCAGCTTTCTGAGACCAAGATCTTCACTGCCTCTAATGTGTCTTCAGTGCCTCTGCCTGCGGAGAATGTGACAATCACTGCTGGTCAGAGGCAAGTGTGTGGTAAAGTTCAGTGTCCTTTCCCAAATGGGCCTGGTGAGAAGGGGCTGTAAGGAAGAGCAGCAGTGGGCCTTCTCGAGCTCCCATGGTGCTGGCAGTAACGGGAAGCAAGCATGTGAGGCTGATCGGGTTATAAGAGTTGGTCTACTGAACGGGAGTCCATTTTTTACAATTTTAAAGATGATTCTTTCCAAAATAGCCCCTTTAATTACATAGGTCAACCTGAATTAAAACTTAGCACGATTGAGCTTGTCTGGTAGTAAGGTAAAGTTAAACATGGGAATGTTTTCATTTATTTCAGTTTGCAGAACTGTTCAGTAGCTGCTTCTCTTGCTTTATAATAATGATCTTTGTCTGCCAAGCCTACTGAGTAAAACGGTCATTTTTCCCCTAGGATCTGGCTAATGAATTTTTTAGAACTTGAACCTTAGTTATTGGGGTTAGTAGAGGGAGGTGCACTTACTAGGAATATTTTTATTCCCAGAAAGCCTCTTGGATTATTTCTAGACCTGGGTATGATAGCTGATAACTCAGAAGCCCGAAACGTGCTAGGAATAGGACATTAGGGGCATCAGAGGCGATGTGTGTTGTTTTTCTGACACCAGTATCTCATTTTACTGACATCAGTCCTTCAATTCTCTGAACACCAACAAGGTATTTAGTAATTCAGTTCAGTTCTGCCACTTGCCAGAGTTAGCACAGACCCCGATTGATGCCTCCATCCCAGAAGACTGCCCTTGCTTCCGAGGTGTGAGGTCCACTGCAGATGAGTGCCCAGGCTGCCCACACCCTTCTGCCTGGCTGACTGCAGATTTGGGGATTCTCACAGCCTACCCCACCCCTCACCCCCTGCTTAAGTTCAGAAATCTGCTAGAATGACTCGGAACCCAGGGAAGAGTTACTTGCCATAACTGGTTTGTTATAACCAGTACTCAGGTACAGTGGCCAGTTGGAAGAGATGCACACACAGGGCAGGGGGTGGGGTGCCTTCCCAGTACATTCATCAACATTCAGTGCATCCATTAACCCAGAAGCTCACTGAATCTCCCTGTTCTAGAGTTTTAATCAAAGTTTCATTACTTAGATAGGCCTGATTGACTAAGCCATTGGCTGTCGAAGGCAGTCTCCAAGCTCGTTCTGATTCTAGAAGTGGGTAAAGAGAGAGTGCTGGGGCTGAAAGTTCTAACCCTCTAATCCCATTGCTGGTATTCCTGGTGGCAGCCCACTTCCTGCAGCTCTGGGGGGGTGGGGCTCCCACCCTGAGTAACCTCGTTAGCGTGGACTTTGGTTGAAAGAGGCTCATTACGAATAACAAGAGACACTTAGGAAATTTTAAGGGTTTTAGGAGCTCTGTGCTGAGAACTAGAGGCAAAGCGGAACTATATGTGTGCTCCTTAGACCACAGGTGACTTGGGAAGTTCTATGGAAGTTGGGGGGTCAATTCCAAAGATACTTGAAGGTGCCGGCGCTCTGGCAAGTTTTTGTGTATTAGGTATTGGTAATGGCAGGTATTCATTATTAAAATATTCATTAAAAATTTTGTAAATTTTGGCCCAAATGTGAAGCTGTTGCATTAAAACTAACATTTGTTATTCCATTAAATTAATGTAACTAAATTGAAATATTTAACATTATGGTTGACAGTGCTATTAGAACACAGCTAGATCCTGTAGTGGTTCTTACACATCATTTATTTTGGTCAATTAAGCATTTCTGGTCTTTGTGTTTTTGATGAGTGACTTTATTTTGATCTGACCATACTCTGGGAGTTGGGAATGCTAGAATGTTCTGTCATTATTCATGAGTATATTCTGTCCCTCCACTAGAATCGACCTTGCTGTTCTGTTGGGGAAGACACCATCTTCAATGGAGAATGATTCCTCTAATCTGGATCCATCTCAGGCTCCTTCTCTTGCGCAGCCTCTGGTGTTCAGTAATTCAAAGCAGAGCGCCATAACACAGCCTGCTTCAGGAAACTCATTCTCTCATCACAGTATGGTAAGTAAGAGACCCAGTGCCCTTTAACTCCAGCACGGACATGGAGTACTGCCTTCCGGTGACAGGTTTGGGGTGGGATAAAACATCCCCTGTAAGTAGCCTTAAGTAGCCCGCACTAAGTAGCCTTGGTGGTAGGGACACAGAGTTGGGTAGTAGGGTGCTGTGCAGTAGGAGGACTTAGTTTTGGACAGACTGAATCTTCCTCTAAAAGTGAGTCCATATCACTTACCAGACACTCACTGTGCCAAGTGTTAATTTGCTGTTGAAGAGGAAAAAAAAATGACATCAGATTTTAATCCTTTTTCAATTCTAGTTAAACTTTGATGGGAAGTTGTAGCACTTGCCTCTTTCTCGATAGCAGAATTGCCATATAAATCTGTTTAAACCAGATGTTTCTGGACTCAGCTTCCAAAAACTTGGGGTTTTACTGAATGTTTCTGCTTACTAGCTGCCCCTCCCCTTCTCTGTAGGTGGGGATAAGAGCGCTTGCTCTGCCTGCCATACAGGGCTGTGGGAACATGCAATAAGATTGTGGATAAGGCCACACAAATGGGGGAGCAGCAGTGGTATTAGTTATTAACACCTAGAGTACTTCAGGCATGTGAATTGTTGACTCAGTTAAGAAATTCAAGGTCGTTCGTTAACGACCAAAGCAAAGGAATCATTTAAGGGTCAACAGTGAGGCAAGGACCAGTGTTTTTTCTAACAAATCATAAGAAAAACTTTCTCTTTTTTTCTTTTTGCATATAATTTTATTTTTCCAGTAGTAGGATGATAACGATTACTTCATTTTTATTATTTTTTAATGTCTGTTTATTTTGAGAGAAAGTGCACACGAGTGTGCAGGGAGGAGCAGAGAGAGAGGGAGACTCCAAGCAGGCTCCACACTGTCATCGCAGAGCTCAGTGTTGGGCTCGATCCCATGACTTTGAGATCACAACCTGAGCTGCTATCAAGAGTCAGATGCTTGGGCGCCTAGGTGGCTCGCTCAGTTGAGCGTCCAACTCTTGGTTTTGGCTCAGGTCCTGATTGCAGTGTCGTGGGATCAAGCCTCATGTCAGGCTCTGTGCTGAGCATGGAGCCTGCTTAAGATTCTTTCTCCCTCTGCCCCTCTCCCCTGCTTGTGTTTTTTCTCTCTTAAAAAAAAAGAAAGAAAGAAAGAAACATTAGAGAACCAATTTTCCCTAAAATTTAATAGATGTAAAACAAAATTTTAATATAAATAACATAGGAGCTCCCTGTATACGGACATTACATAGTATGCTGTATCTTTAAAGTTTTGCACTTGTAGAATATCTGATAATCGTTACCATGTGGGATCATCTCCCTGCCATAGTCCTATACTTTTAACTCAACTTCGGGTGTTTGTGTTTTTGTTCGTATAATTTTGTGACACAGACTGAAGTGGGAAAAATGTCTTCCCTTGAGTTGGACTGATTGCTTTCGTTTAAGAGAGCGCTGCTCATTGATGGTGATGAGGAAGGATATGGTTGAATAAGAACCTAAGGGAAACTAGACCGAATCTCCCTGAAGATGTTTTGGAGTAGTCAAGGCCATGTGGTTCATCTGCTGGACTAGGCTGGCGGTCTTACCTAGCAGTAGGGAGTGGGGGAAATCCCCCAAAAGCATAAGAGTAAATTTTGTTTTCTTATTCGTGATTGTCCTATAGAACTTGGATACACACAGAGAAAATGAATCATACGGACTCATTATTTGATTGTGTGGTGCAGAGATGTTGATAGGCCCTTAGCTTTCTTTTCTTTGTCTTGAAGTGAGGCTCCGGTTAGCTCTCCTTGTTACTTTTGAGCTGTTTAGTGGAAGGGGCAAAATGAGCCTTAATGGCTGAACTGAAATTTCGTATTAGCCTTCGTATTAATTTAGTAATCAAGTACTGCTTGGAGCGCCTGGGCAGTTAAGTGTCCGACTTCAGCTTAGGTCATGACCTCACAGTTCGTGGGTTTGAGCCCCCCACGTTGGGCTCTGTGCTGACAGCTCGGACCCTGGAGCCTGGTTTGGATTCTGTGTCTCCCTCTCTCTCTGCCCCTACCCCATTCACACTCTGTCTCTCTCTCAAAAATAAACATTAAAAAACAGTTTAAAAAAATAATCAAATACTGGTTGATGTAAGCCTTTTTATTTACTTATTTTTGAGAGTGTGCGTGTGCAAGTGAGTGAGGGGCAGAGGGAGAAAGAGAGAAGCAGGGCTCACCCGAAGTAGGGTTTGTGTTTGTCTGAAGTGGGGCTCTTGCTCACCCGACATAGGGCTCGAACTCATGACCCGTGAGATCATGACCTGAGCTGAGGTCAGATGCTTAACAACTGAGCCACCTAGATGCCTGATGTAAACCTTTAAAAGGAAAAAAATTCCGGGGTGCCTGGGTAGCTCAATTGGTTGTGTCCGACTTTTGATTTGGGCTCAGGTCATGTTGTGAGATCGAGCCTTACATTGGGCTCCATGCTGAGTGTGGAGCCTGCTTGGGATTCTCTCTCCCTCTCCCTTTCCCCTGCTGCTCTCTCAAAATAAATAAATAAGCATTTGAAAAAAAAACTTACAAAAAAAAAAAAAAAAAATTTTTAAAGGAGAAAAATTCTATCAGTCATTAGATCTTTATACCTGAGGAGAGAGGAAGTAATGGTGTAAATTTTAATGATGCTTATTATGTACCATACACATACTAAATGCTTTAATACATTATTTCATCTCCCTACAGCTTTATGCAATACTATTTTCATTTGCTTTCAGGTGAGGGAAATGAAGTACAGAGAAATCACAAATAGGTTTTTCCACAATTACATAGCCAGGATTTGGACCTAGGCAGTCTGACTCCAGAGACTGTGCTCTAATGGACTAGACTGTGTACTCAGTCTGGTGATATTCTTTACTTGTCGGGTCTCTCCTGGCTCCCCCTGTGTCTGAGTGACTTTCCAAGTGTTTCCAAGTGGTGAGCACATCTGCTTGCCGTAGGTCTCTCTCATCCCTCTCTGTGTCGGTCTGCAGGTGAGCATGTTGGGGAAAGGGTTTGGCGATGTCGGCGAAGCTAAAGGTGGCAGCACCACGGGCTCTCAGTTCTTGGAGCAGTTCAAGACTGCTCAGGCCCTGGCCCAGCTGGCGGCACAGCATTCTCAGCCTGGAACCACCGCCACCTCCTCTTGGGACATGGGCTCCGCCTCACAGTCCCCATCGCTGGTGCAGTACGGTGAGAAGGGTGGAAAGTGACGTGTTGGAACATTACCACCAGGAGCTTGCAGGAGTCGGGGGTGGAGAATGTTTCTTGAAGTCAGGAGAAGGACAGCCACCTGGCTAGTTTCCCATGACTGATACCCTCTAGTCACACAGGCTGAGTTCAGAAAGCTAGGAAGTAGTAAAAAGTTTGAGGCTCGGTGTCTCTTTAACCGAGTTTAGACATTTACATCGTAGTTGCAGTCTTCTGTTGACCACGGAGTGTTTGGACTCTCCCTAGATTGGTCTTCAGTGTTTGAAAAAACGTTGCCTTAGGAGGTTTGTGGGCTTGGCATTATGTAGGACCTTCCGCTCTAAACATGGACAGTTTGTAGGTTCCTGTCTTACACAAGCAGGCTAATAGTGCTGATTTGATTAGGCTGTACTTAGAACAGATACGATGTGTGATTGTCACTTTTAGAAGTGAGAGTGAGTCCTAGATGAGGACTTGTTTATGTGACGTACTGATTCTCGAGGGCCTTGTTTATGGCTCGAGAGAGGATAATAGCGTTTCACTGACGTTCATCAGCATCCCTGACCCCATACATACCGGGACTCTCCGTGCAGATTTGAAGAACCCGGACGATTCCACAGTACACAGCCCCTTCAGCAAACGCCAGGCTTTCACGCCGTCTTCAGCCATGATGGAGGTGTTCCTTCAGGAGAAGCCGCCCACGGTGGCCACCTCCACCGCTGCACCTCCACCGCCCTCTTCTCCTCTGCCGAGCAAATCCACCTCGGCCCCACAGATGTCTCCCGGGTCTTCAGATAACCAGTCCTCCAGCCCTCAGCCGGCTCAGCAGAAATTGAAACAGCAGAAGAAAAAGGCCTCCTTGACTTCTAAGGTACTTGAACTTTGTGATGGGTGTCATTTTAGGGCAAAGGGGATGCGGGATTTGGGAATCAAGATCGTGAGGGGATAGTTTGCAAATTTGAAACAGGTTTTTTTTTTAATCAGTCTTATAGTAAGATTGTAATAAAACCATTACCTTCTCGTTACAGATTCCTGCTCTGGCTGTGGAGATGCCTGGCTCAGCAGATATCTCAGGGCTAAACCTGCAGTTTGGGGCATTGCAGTTTGGGTCAGAGCCTGTCCTTTCTGATTACGAGTCCACCCCCACCACGAGCGCCTCTTCAAGCCAGGCTCCAAGTAGCCTCTATACCAGCACAGCCAGGTAGAGGGGAAACCTCAATCAAGACTTTTTTTGTCAGGCTTTTACCACTGTTTCTGTCTCTTGCCGATTCCTAGAACTCCAAAGAGGCCCAAGCCTCTGATTGAAGGAAAAGTAGCCGATTGTAGCATTTTGTTAAGCATTTCAAAATACTGTTACTAAGATTATCTGTAACACTAAACAGATGGAAATATACCTCTTGCATACTTCTGGAGTGTCCACGCCTAGTTCTTGTTTTTTGTTTTTTTGGTTTTTTAACAGAAGCATCCACCACTTTGTTTTTGTTTTTAAGTTTTTATTAGAGCACATGTCCGTGTGCTGTTCCTTGGTGGGGGGGGGGGGGGCTGGGGGGCAGGGCAGGGAAAGAGAAAAATTCGAAGCAGGCTCCACGCTGGAACTCTTGAACCATGAGATCATGACCTGAGCCAAAATCAAGAGTCGGACGCACAACTGGCTGAGCCTCCCAGGCGTCCCCACGCCCAGTTCTTAAGAGGTGCGTATAGCACCTCTAACAGGAGGACCTTGGCATCTGGCTAAAAATGCTTTTGACATCTTTGGTCCTTTGGTGTGGGCCTTATGCATATGAAGGGTAGGACTCTGGCCTCCTAAGAAAGAGGTAGTAGCATCAATAGATGACACAAGTAAAAAAGAGCCTTTCCTACCTTCTCTGGTAAGTGTCACGAAGGGCCAACATAAGCAATAGAAAACCCTGGAGGATGGGGCACCTGGGCAGCTCGGTCAGTTGAGCATCCGACTCTTGATTTCGGCTCAGGTCATGTTCTCACGATTGGTGAAGTCAAGCCCCTCGTCAGCTGACAGCGTGCAGCCTGCTTGGGATTCTCTCTCTCCCTCTCTTTCTGCCCACACCGCCCCTGCCTTGTGTGCACGTGTGCTCTCTCTCTCTTTTAAAATAAATAAATATTTAAAGAAAAAGTTCTGGCAGAGTTTAAGGGACTAGGCTACTTTCTTCAGTCCCTTGAATTTAAAAATATAAGCATCAGGCCCTTGCCTAATCTATTGGATTATAATTGCCGTTAAGTCACGTGAATATTTTCATAGTTTTTCTCAGAGTTTCTACCCAGTACCTTATATTTAATAGGGTTTCTGACAGAGCCAGGAGCTCAGAATTCCTTAAAATGAATGTGAGAAACAGATGACTTTCCCTGTGCTTAGGGTTCATGTTAGGATATATCAGAAGGATCAAAAAAGTCTATCCTTTCTGCTTTTGCCTCTTTCTCTTAAAACAGAATGTGGGCGAGCAGTTTGAGTTCAGACCCCTGACTCTGTAGGATGTGGAAATTCCTATTGCTGTCAAGAGAAAATTGTCTTTTATTTGCTGCTGGGAATTTTCCTTTTGATTATAATCAACTTACTCTAGTAGGTCTCCAGCATGTCCTTAGTATCCATGGATCTGTTCTGTTTTGGTTTTCTGAGATTTTCCTTCTGCGCTCCCCACAGTGAATCTTCATCTACAATTTCATCTAACCAGAGTCAGGAGTCCGGTTATCAGAGCGGTCCAATTCAGTCGACAACCTATACCTCCCCAAATAATGCTCAGGGCCCTCTGTATGAACAGAGGTCCACACAGACTCGACGGTACCCCAGCTCCATCTCCTCATCACCCCAAAAGGACCTGACTCAGGCAAAGGTAGTGTGGCTTTGAGAGTCCCTGGGTGCTGTTTAAGACAATATTGGGCAAAGTGTCTCCAGTGTTAGTGTTTCCCTTCTTGACAAATGGTGCTGGGATGCCACAGAAATACTGACCGAGAAGCTGAAAAAAACACATTTCTGTGGTTGGAGAAATAAAAAAGTTCTTTGCAGCAAGCCTGGAGATTCATAGTCAGAAAACTAAAGCCAGCACTAGAGATTCGTTCTTTGTCGTAGGATCAATGTCAAGTACTTGTTTTCTCTCTCGCGAAGATCTGAGTGCTGGACTTCTGGGTCTGTATCGATAGACACCTTGCCGTGTCTCGGCCCAGGGAGGGGACAGCATATGCCAGAGGTGCTCTGGAGCGGACTGACAGTCCCGTGCAGCCAGAACAGTGGGTGCTTTGGCTGAACGGTCCTCCTTCCCCAACCTCCCCCAGGGACCCCCAGGCCTTTCCTGTGTCTCTTCTGGGTTTGGGATCTCTTGAGCGGTTTGGGGGCGCTGCCTTCTGTTGCTTTGGGTCACACGGGGTTGGTCTATCTTGTTGCCATTTTAAATTCGTTTTGTTTAGATCGTCTGCATTATGTTAATCCTTTGGTTAGCTTACAGAATGTCTCTGAAAGATTTGTTGGTTGAAGTTAAGCTGAGTCTGTGCTAACTCGACTTTTCACTTGAGTTTGTTTTTTACTCTTCTGTTTTTTGTTCCAGAATGGCTTCAGCTCTGTGCAGGCCACACAGTTACAGACCACGCAATCTGTTGAAGGTGAGGCTTTTTCCTCTATGTTGTAGTGGTTTTCCTCTCCTTTTCATATGTTTGCGTTTCTTCGATCATGGTGGGAAGCGCCCTGGCTTCTCTGGTCACAGTCTTCGTGTGGTCCTGCCCTGCTGTTTTCTCTCAGACCTGTCTCAGGGCTCTCTGACTTAGAAGAGTGATGGTACCCTCGGTTCCCTTCACTGGATAAGTGAGATCAGTGCTCTGAAATGTTGGAAATAAGAGAGTCTAGGGGCACCTGGGTGGTTCAATCGGTCAAGCGTCCCGACTTCGGCTCAGGTCATGATCTCACGATTCATTGGTTCAAGCCTCGTGTCAGGCTCTGTGCTAACAGCTCGGAGCCTGGAGCCTGCTTCGGATTCTGTGTCTCCCTCTCTCTGTGCCCCTCCCACACTCACGCTTTGTCTTTGTCCATCTCTCTCTCTCAAAAATAAATAAGTGTCCAAAAAATTTAAAATGATAAGAGAGTCTATGTAATCACAGTAGTCCCTTATTAAATAACTTTCTCTCTTGTCTCGGGGACGGCCGAGACTGGAGTCGTCTGTTCACTTGTCAGAGACCCTCCCTTTCCGCTGATGGGATAGATAATTATTCTTTATTTCCAGGTGCTACAGGCTCTGCAGTGAAGTCTGACTCACCTTCCACTTCCGGCATCTCCCCTCTCAGCGAGACGGTGTCCGCAGCCTCCTTGCTGACAGCGGCCAGTCAACACTCATCCCCCCTGGGTGGCTTGAGCCACGGTGAGGAGAGCGCAAATGCTCCCACCACACAACACAGCAGGTGATTCGGGTCACAGGTGGATGTTGGGGTTGGGAGGAGAGGTAGAGTTCTCTGCTTCCGCCCTGTCCCTGCTGCCTGCCAGGGGCCGTGTTAGCGGGCACGACCTGCAAGTTGTGGAGTAGGAGAGAGAGGCCTGTTCTCTCTTCTCAGCAGCCCCGCTCGCTGTGTCTGCTCCCCACCCTGGCCGGCCACGGTGCTCCCCCCGGTCTCCGGTCTTCCTGGTCCCATATACCGCCGCACGTCCTCGTCAGTGTTCTTGATGGAAGCTCCAGGTCAGTCACCACAGCACCGTGACTGATGGCTGCCTCTTCTTTGCAGCACGTTATCGACGCAGCAGAACACCCTCTCGTCATCCACGTCTTCTGGGCGCACTTCTACATCCACTCTTTTGGTAAGTGTGATGCAGCTGAAGAGGAAGGGCGGTGTTCTTACACTTAGAGGAGTCTAGCGGCGAGACTCCCGAGAAGAGATTCTTGGAAATCCCTTCGTGCGGTGGTGGAGTGATCGTTGATCTGAGGTTGCGGGAATGGACTAAAAGGATGTTGGAAGGCAGGAGAGGCAGAAGAACCTAGAGATACTGCTGAGCTGTGGGCCAATTCTCAAAGCCCTGGACGTGACTCCTGAAGCTTTGCCTTTTTTTATTCCTTCTTAACACTGAGGTGTGCAGGGCTTCATGGCTCTGATAGAGCCTGTGAGGGCCTCTCTACAGCCGTTCTCACTCCGTGGTGGGGGGTATGTTGGACAGGGCTGCTGAAGATAAGCAGGGTCCGGGTATCCTCTGAAAGTTAAGGCCAGAGGAAAGCTTTTGATCCGAGAATTAAGTTCACTATGGTGATTTAGGACAAGCATTTGTGGGGTTAAGCTGAGACGGTGAGGAAGACCCATTTGGGGCAAAGGTGTCTAGTTTGCCAGAAACCCGGGGGAAGAGGAGTGCTCAGGCTTCCCTAGAAGACTCTTTTTCCTCAGGTATACTGTTTCTGGTTTAAGTTCATTAGAACTTGCTGAACTACTGAAGGAGAACGTGGGAGAGAAGGCTAGGCTGTATTTCCCTGACCCGAACTGTTCGCTGGCCAGCCAGCATTGGTTCCTGGCGTGTTTGTCCGCATGTGCTCTGACGGGAGGGCGTGCAGCCGGTGTTGTTAACTAGATCCCTGCCTGACGCCGCGTCTGGGGGAACAGGCAGCCGGAGCAGACTTCGTGATTTCTTCCAAGTCCTTTGGTGGAGGACACCCAGGTCTCTGCCTCGGCCGTTTTAATTGGGAGGCTGATGTGCTCTCGCCTGCAGAAGGGGCTGTGCCTCTCTCCTGACCTGTCTCGCTGATCGCTATTTCCTCTTCTCATCCACTGCTCCCCCTTTTTGAAGCACACAAGCGTGGACAGTGAGGCGAACCTCCATTCTTCCTCCAGCACTTTCTCCACCACGTCCAGCACGGTCTCTGCGCCTCCCCCAGTGGTCAGTGTCTCCTCCAGTCTCCACAGCGGCAGCAGCTTAGGCCTCAGCCTCAGCAGCAACTCCACCGTCACAGCCTCGACTCGGAGCTCGGTCGCTACGACCTCAGGTAGAAGGTGGACGGCATTCCTCTGGGATGGAGGAGAGGAGTGATCGTGTGACTGGGTAAAAATGGGATCTCTCTTTTAGGAAAAGCTCCTCCCAACCTCCCTCCTGGGGTCCCGCCGTTGTTGCCTAATCCGTACATCATGGCTCCAGGGCTGTTACACGCCTACCCGGTAAGTGAGGCTGAAGCAGCTTCTGCAAAAGATGAAGACGGTGTGGCTACTCTTTACAGCTCCGGCTTCGGGTGGAAGACTGTAATTAAAATAGAGAATAAATGAGTGGTTGTCGCATGTAAGCAAACCAGTTTTTGATCTTCGTAGTTTGGGGCAAAAATCGTCATTTCTAGAGGGGAGGGACTAAACGGAGGCCACTCCTCCTATTGTATATTTTCTCTGTGTGAAACAAATTCTAGGCTTCGGAAGCTAAAGGCCAGAGTGCCCACCTGGAATCCCTTTCAGTTTCTCAGAGAATTATTTTCTTGGGTAGGATTGAGTCCCTGTCTGTGAGGTTCTCAGCTGGCTGTGACCTGGGAAGAACAGAGCTCCCTGACCTGATCTGGGACTGCTGGAGAGTAGGTGGTTTGACAAGCGGTAGCTTTGTGTCCCGGTGTATCTTCTGTCAAATTCATAGATTTGGTGCCAATTAAGGTAAAGGCTATTTATTTGAAATGTTTAAAAAGACACCCGTTCTGGCCTCTCAGAAAGTGTCTAAGCGAGCATCATACACAGGAAACGTTCAATAATGGTTTGCACATTTTTTAACAATCAGCATAACGTCTTAGTCCCCATACGTTAGAGAAAACAAGTAAGATGTGAATCTTTTCTGAAAGAGATGAGTCTTAAGCTGTGTATTTGACGGCCGTTCCTACCTGGCTCCTGTTGCCCCACCGCTGCCTCTGGGTTGGATCGGTGGTATGTGGCTCATGGCAAGTTTCGAGACCTTTCATAAATCACCCAGTCTGTACTTCACTTCTTTCTTCCTAAAGGGAACTGCCGGAAGTAACCTATGTTCTGTTCTTCCTAAGAATGAGGATGGATGTTCTGTTGACTGACTTTGTCCCTTGACACCTTGGCTGGCTTCTGTGGTAGTCAATCCCTGTGAACACTGTTACATGCTTGTGTCTTCCAGCCGCAAGTATATGGTTACGATGACTTACAGATGCTTCAGACGAGATTCCCCTTGGTGAGTGTGTGCTTAGGGCAGGAGGAGAGAGCGACCTTACAGCCTTGAGGGGGTTGTTTCAGGTGCTCAGTTGATAAGTCCCCCCCATTAGCTCTTTCCCAACCTATACGTCCAGATGCAAACCCTGATTCAAGATCAGGGACTGGGGGAGTGGGTCAGCTCTCAGGTAGCTTTTTTTTTCATCAGTTGTGACCTCTTTAAAGTAAACAAATTTTAACCTTAAAAATAGCTCAGAATACCCTAGAGCTCTCTGGATGCTTTTTCTGACACGTCAGACACTTTGAATTACAGAAAGAGAATCTATTTTTTGGTAGCAGTGGACTGTTGGGGACGACAGCTAATGGTTTGAGAGCATTATTGTTCCAATGGTCCCGACCTGTTTCCCGGTGGGCACACCCGTAGACCTCGCCTGACTCTGCCCGTGGCCGGGTGAGGGGGACAGTGTGTGCAAGAGTCACGGGGAGTTCTTACCAGCTCCAGCCAGCTCGCTCGCCGGCTGGATAAATGCAGCGCTCCCAACATTCCGCTTCTCACCTTGCGTTGAGCAGATGAGTGGCATCCAGTCTGTGCCCTTTGTCTCTTCTAGGATTACTACAGCATCCCATTTCCCACGCCCACCACACCGCTGACGGGGAGGGACGGTAGCCTGGCCAGCAACCCCTACTCTGGTACGGCTTGGGGGGGGGGGGGGTGTTGCAGATGACAGGAGTGTGTGCTGGGACTGGTGGCAAAAACCTGGTTAATGGCGAGCAGGGACCCAGTTCTCACTTTAATGAAGACCTTTGGCGGAAGGTCTGGAACAGATGTGATGAATCCGGGTTGGTAGATTTGGGATGCTACTGAAGACGGACATTTCCTTCTCGTCCTACTTTGTTGTCTCCCGGTGGTTCCAGATGACCCCCTGACAGGCTTCTCTGCCATTCTCCAGTGTTTTCCGGGAAGTGCAGGGGTTGAAATGGCCTTCCTCCGCTTGTCTCTGCTCCTGTTCCCTGCTCACAGCGGCAATCTGGTTGCCTCACTAGGCTGTGATCCTTCTTTTTATGCCTGACCTCTTTGACGTATCATTTTCCTTGACCTGTCCTTGTCTGCTGAGTGCAGCATGGCGTGTTCCTTGTGGAGGGAAAGCGGGAAGGCAGGGAGGGTGGGGCTGAAATCATGTTTTACTCTGGGAACCCGTCTCCCACATCGTTGCCCAGGCATTTGACATCAGGCTTGACTAGCACAGTGCGGAGTGTGTGCTCAGCAATGCCAAATGGAGCCGGAGAGAAAATGTAATTCAAAGAATTGACCTTTAACAGTCTTTAATCGAGGTCTTCTGGAGTCCTGTGAAACCAGGAGAAGTAATTGTGCGCTGGGGTCGGGGGTGAAATAGACAGCAGGTATATTTACTCTCTCCTGTCATAGGTGACCTCACGAAGTTCGGCCGCGGGGATGCCTCCTCCCCAGCCCCGGCCACAACCTTGGCCCAACCCCAACAGAACCAGACGCAGACTCACCACACGACGCAGCAGACATTCCTGAACCCGGCGCTGCCTCCTGGCTACAGTTACACCAGCCTGCCATACTACACAGGGGTTCCGGGCCTCCCCAGCACCTTCCAGTATGGGCCTGCTGTGTTCCCTGTGAGTACCTGGGTTTGGCTTCCTTTTGGTGAAGAAGCCCAGCCCCTGGACCCTATCCTAGCTGCCTTCATGGCTAAATGATTTTTTAATAATGGATGAGGATAAACCATTCCCCTCTGTCCTGGGAGAGGTGGGGGCTGGAATTGGAGGTACTGGGATAGAGGTGACCTGTTCTTAGAGTTCTCTAAAGAGGGGAGATGATACAGCCCAGCTTTGGACCCTAGACTGTCGTTCATTCCCTCCTGCCACTTGGCACTTGCCCTTCCTTCAAACTACCGTTTCTTGACTTCACTGGTAGATTTTCTAAAGCTCCGTAGGGAACCCATTTTACTAAGCAGACTGTGGTCAGCTTGCCTGAAGACCATAGCCGTCTGAGTGCCTAGTTCCTGGGACAGGTTGGTGACAGTTCTCTGTCACTATCTCACCTCCCTTCTGGCCCTGTTGCTCTCCAGGTGGCTCCTACCTCTTCCAAGCAGCATGGTGTGAATGTCAGTGTGAACGCATCAGCCACCCCTTTCCAACAGCCAAGTGGATATGGGTCTCACGGATACAACACTGGTAAGCACCCCTCGACCCCAGCTGTCCGTGGTTTCTGCAGGATGTGACTAAAGGAGTTTTGGGGGAGGAGGATGTGCTTGAGAGAACAGGGTTGGTGAGGTGTGCGTGCTAGCATCTGTACGTAGGGTTGTCCACGTTTGACCGACATGGGTGTCCGAGCGGCACCAGCAGACGTGCTTGGTGTCGGAACATGTGTCCAGCCCTCACGATGGGAGTGCCCCGGGGCCTGCATTGGCTGTCAGAATGTGTTGGCTGGCCTAAACTTCGGGTGGGACGCAGGACAAGGGGCCCCAAGACGTTACTGTGCTGTCAGTGGGGACAGGCGTGAGAACGTCTGGTCCCGGTAGTTCTCAAGGAGAATCACTGCCCAGCAGCGTTGGGTGGGTTCTTGGCCAGTGTGCCCCGGTGGGCTGGGCTTAAACCTTCCGGTAGCACTGCTTTTCTCACACAGCCCCTTTTTGTTCCCTAGCTGGGAGCCCTAGGGTATGGAGAGAAAGGTGTGGGGTGCGAGAGCTCAACAGAGGGAGAGGGTCCTCCGTTTGTATGGCTGGTCTCTTGGCAAAGTCTGCATATCTGATGGCAGGGCAGAGATGTAGGAACTGACCTGAAAGATAACTAGTCTGTCCCCTGCTCCTCTAGTGAGGCCTGTACCCCACTTGTGGAGGACAGTTCCATCGGCTTTTTTCAGGGACTTGTAGATGAACGTGGGGAGGAGGATTTTGCAGTTGAAAGAGTTGGGATTGAGGGCTCTTCAAAATTCTAAGCTCACGTGTGGTGTCATGGTGGTTTGGAGGGGGCTGCATCTGTGTTCTTCATCACTGTGTGGGCCCCAGGTGGGTCAATTGCCCGAGGGTTTCAGTCATCGGGGAACTCTGAGCTGAGCACAGAGGGCAGTAGGTCTGGGAACTAATAACCAGATGGAGCTTTGAACTGTTGGAGTACTTGGAGCGAGTCCGGATTCAACCTGGAGAAATCCTGAGATGCCCCGCTCCTCGTGGCTGCCCCTCTCACCGGGCGAGGTGCACCCTAATCCTTGGTGGGGACGTCAGCTTTCTGACTTGGCGCGGCCCCATTCTGAGAACGTTAGATTTAGGTTTTAGCTGGACCAGGTTCAAGAATTTTAAGAGGTAGGTGATTGATAATAAAAGAGAATGGCATTACCTGATTCTGGAAATCCAAGGCTCTTATCTACCTTAAGAGTTCAGAAATCCGCTGTAACAGTCTTTTGAGAAGCCCCAGTTCCCAACCCCACGGAGGGCTCTTGTCATCCCGTGCCTCATCAACCTCTAAATTCATTTATTTTTATGTATTTGATTCCTTTTAGGAAGAAAATATCCACCCCCTTACAAGCATTTCTGGACGGCAGAGAGCTAATTTGGCCCAAGGCTGGGGGCTATGTTTTGTGTGTGTGTATAAATTTGCACTGAAGTCTTGTTTCAGAAACCAGACCACTGAGGAGAGCCTGCCGAGCTGAGGCCATGGCCTGCGTGGCTTGGGGAAATGAGTTGGTGGATACCTTCTGGGCTTTGAACTTGCCCTGCCCCCGTTTCCCTCTCCCCCACGTGTCTGACCCTGTCTTACCCATTCCGAGTCCAAGCGGTGCAGCGCCTCCGAAGCATCAATGCACACACCTGCCGTTGCTCTTGATTTCTGGAAGGATGTAGTTTCACCTTGTAACAAAATATTTGTAGTCTTCAATAAACTGTGGTATTTCTTTAGCTAACTCTGGCGTTCTTTCCGTGCATGTCTTTCTGGACACTAGGAGCCAATGTTGTGCTGTGGACGAAGGGTGGAGGGGGGCCTTCTCAATCAAACCCCAGCGTAGCCAAAGGATGGAGAACTGTTACCTTCTCGGCGTGGTGATTTTATCAAGTGGGAGAGGGGGAGGCAGCGTCAGTTTTCAGCCCTTTGATTGAATGGTAAAGAAAGTTATTTGCCGAAAATCCCTGATTCCCCATGCTTAGTACAGCGCTTCACTTTTCACCCAGATCTTTCCTGTGCCTCTGACGGAAGCAGAGGGAAAGGACGACAACAGCTTGGAGTGTCATGTCATGGTGAAAGGCAGAAAGAGGTGGCGTTTGGAGTTGGTTTAGGGAAGTGGCTTCCAAGGCCCCGGGCCAGATGGCTGCTTGAGAGCTGATTGGGTCTTTAGTGACCAGCTAGTTGGTGACTCCGGCTGTGACAACCGTGCTGGCCTGCAGCACTGTTCTCAGTCCCTCGAGACTGCTCGGGGGTTGTGGACTGCTCGTTGCTGTGCACTTGTGGGCGTAGCTAAGGACGTGCGGGAGAGGTTTCGTTCCACTTCTCCGTGACGACGGGAGCTCTCCCCACTCGGTCCAGCTGCTGGCACACCGTCGCCCCTTTGTTTACAGAGTTAACCCGTCCGGCGAGAGCATCATCCTTCGCTAAGTGCAAACCTGGATACTCCACTTCCTCTGTATTTGTCCCCAGCCCTCCGGGGCTGCCATGCTGGGAGGCATTGGTTGTCGTTTCTCCTCCCTGCCGTCCACCTCCTGTCCGTGTGCTCGTAGCTGCTTGGGAGCGGGGAAGGGGGGGGGATAGGCGGGGCGTTGACTGTTGGAAAGCCAGAGAACTCTAGTCTGAGGAGCTTTCTTGTCGCAGGTGCAGGGGAAGTGGGGCAGCCACACAGGTCACGTCTAGGGCCTCTAGTGCTCACACTCAGGCTGTTAGGGCTGCTGCGGTGTTCTCTCGTGTCCTGCGTCTCCAGTCCTTTCGCCCAACACCCGGACCGCGGCCTCAGGACTAGAAGCTGGATTTTAGCTGGTCCGGCCTCTGGGAAGACTGAGCCCAGGTGTGTGTGGCAGGGGCACTCCGGAGCTAAATTGCTCCCTACCACCCAGCTCGAGAAGCCAGTTAGCCATTTGTCCTGTCCTGCATGGGGTGGCCCAGGGTGTCCACAAGGCGTCAGAACCTTTGCAGTAAAGATCAATCATCATCTCTCGTTTCCCTCAAAAACGTTTGTATCCCGTCCGTCCCACCTCACTGTCGGCCCTCCGCACAAACCTCCTCGGTGCTGTAGCAGATGAACTGTCCTTAAAGTCAGGTCCGCCACCAGTGACTGGCACACGGGCACCTGGGGTTTGAGAAGGGAAGGGAAGGCACTACCCCGTTAGTCCCTGTATCATCCCTCCTTCTCCTTCAGGGCCTCTGAGGGGAGAATTGCTGCTTGAGAAGGGGTGGTATTTTCCACGCTGTCTCTGCAGTTGTGCGATTTTTCTTTGGCACCTTCTTGGCGTGATCTGGGTTTGTGCTATGGGCGGGGCTTCCAGGTGAAGACACCACACGTACCGGGAAGATCCTGAAGTGGTTGTCCAAGGTGGACTCCACCTTGGGAGGCTGCCTCCATCCTAGGCATTGGGAGGATTTGGGTTCTGGACTTTGACGGGGGAATTGCTCTTGAGTTGTGGGGGGACTTGTGATTTGGTCACTTTGGCACGGTGCTTCTGAGAAGCTCTTGCACCTGAGGGCCTCGAACAGCAGGAGAAGGATCCAGGGACACAGGCTGAAATGCAGTTTTTCTGAAGTTTCATTTTATCTCATGTGATGAGATCGACTATATCTTAAGTGTGTTTTAAATTCTGAGTTAATTTTGAAATGCTTTTCCTCACATCTTTGCAGAAAATTTGTTTAGTAAGACGCTGGATTATTTTATCTGATGGCTTTTTCTCGATCCATTGCCCCATACCCCAGGGTACAGTGTGTATTTCAGTTTAAGGACTAGAAATCGAGATGAGGAATATGCTGTCCTGGTTTCCTTGGAGTGGCCCTGGTGGCAGGGAGTTTTTACCCGGGGAACACAAGTCATTGGGAGTATGGATGAGAGCCTGTGTCCCCGGGAGAAGCTCAGGGTGTAAAGCACGAGGACGTCGGATTTTGTGTTCCACCTGGACTGGAGGAGACAACATACTCCACTCCCTTCCTTACCCTCCCCACCTCCCCGTGCTTGGGCCTCAGTTACTTAGCTGGAAATGCACCTCTGTGTGGGCTCTTTAAATCCTAAGTACGTGGCCTAGAAGCGCCAGAATTGGAGACGCGGGGCCAGGTGAGCCAAGACTGACAACGGGCCGTGCTCTTGGGGTCGGACTGGAATGCTCCTTGGGTGCTTACCTTAGGCTGCGAAAGCATGCAGTCCTGAGCCCAAAAGTGTCTCTTTGTGAACAGGAAGATCCCAGACTACCTGTCTTCAGGAGCAGGACTGAGTGGACTCTGGGTGCGTCGATTTGAAATGGATGTTAAACATTTAATACATTTCTTTTGGGCTTTGGCACAAAAGCGTCTTGAAAGGTATATGCTGGTGAGGCTTGCCTGTAGCCTTGCCCCACAAAAAGCAGCTCCCCTCACATACATACTCAGTATGCACCTGGAAAGGGCAGACTTGGGGCATGAACCCTCATCTCTCAGGACTGACCTGAGCTGGAAACACAGCAGGACCCCCTGCAGTGCTCTAGCTAGAGGCTGCGCACACCGTCTCCCCCCGAGAGGGGGGCCAGGCAGCCAGCTGAGCTAACTCCTGTTTCCTCCTCCCCCAGGTGTGTCAGTCACCTCCAGTAACACGGGCGTGCCAGATATCTCGGGTTCTGTGTACTCCAAGACCCAGGTAGGTGCCTTGCTCGAGGTACAGGTGGAAAGATAACGGACGCAGAGGAGGTGGCGTTGCAATGACAGAAGCTCAGTGAACAAGAACAACCTGAGAGATGTCAGGAAGCCCATCCCAGAAAATGAGTGGTCTCTAGATTTCAATTTCTAGAAGTTTGGAGTTAGCCCTCTGAGAACAAGCAAGAGAAGTGTTCAGGAAGGGGAGGTGTGGCCGGTCGCTGTGATGCGGGATTTACTGTGCAGCTGTCCTGACGTTGCCCACCGCCAGCCTTCTCGTAACTTTCCAAGATGACGAGTACGGACTGAAGGGAAGCTGGTGCGATCCAGTCTTTGTAAAGACACAGTGGGAGCGACCGTGAAGTGTCAGGGGTCCTGGCGGAGTGCTTCGTGGCCAAGCTCCAGGGTGGCAATAGGGGAGCAGCTGCAGATGGTCTGCGACTGCAGAGTCACGGGGCAGCCTCACACCCGTCCTGTCGTGTGGTCCCCACGGCTAGGGAGTCCACGGCACCCCTGCTTCACGTAGGAGAGGACGGAGGCAGAGAGGGAGTACTTTTGTCAGGATCACACGGCTCCCAAAGAGCACAGCGGAGGCAGACCCGGGCACCCGGTGCAGGTGCGGTGCGCCTCCTTTGCTGCGTGCTGCTCTCAGTGGGTGGAGGGCTTGGGCTCAGAGAGTCCAGGGCTTGGTTTGCTGACCCCTTTTGCTGTCTCTCCCCACCCCCTGGACAGCAGTCCTTCGAGAAACAAGGTTTTCATTCCGGCACTCCTGCTGCCTCCTTCAACTTGCCTTCAGCCCTAGGAAGTGGGGGGCCCATCAATCCAGCCACAGCTGCTGCCTACCCACCTGCCCCTTTCATGCACATTCTGACCCCCCATCAGCAGCCGCACTCCCAGATCCTCCACCACCACCTGCAGCAGGACGGCCAGGTAATAGCTCTCCCCTCTCCTTTCCCTTCCTCTTCCTTCCTGTCCCCTGAAACTCCCCCCTTTCCTTCTCTTACCCTTCCTCACCACCACCTTCACCCACCCCTCCCAGCGCCAGCCATGGGCACACAGCACAGACAGACACGAGCGCACACGACACAAGCTGCCGGCAGAGGAGCGGTCAGAGAAGGGGCCGGGCTGAAACCTTCTTCGCCCGGTTCCTTCGGTGCCTTTCTCCTCTACCTCCTGTAGCACAGCTGCCCTCATCCCATCAGACCTGGGTCACACCTACCCTCTGACCTCTCCCGGCCTCCCCCCTTCCCAACATTGTAGCTTTCCCTTCTAATGGTGGAGTTCTATTGTCAAAGTTTGTCCCTTTATTTTCCATATATCCTGGTTCTGCCTCAGCTACCATATTTGCAGATGATTCTGTGTTGCCCGCGCCAGCAGGAGGAGCAGGTAATGAAACTGAATGATGATGTGCTTGAACCCACTCCTTCCCGGCCCCCACTTCACCTCCACAGCCTCAGGGAACTCGAAGACAAAAAGCTGCACCGTCACAGATCAGGACACACAGACACAGACACCTTGCTGAGCTCTCTGGCCTCCTGTTCCTCTCTTGCCCTCCCCTCCCCAGTGCCCTCTTTTTCTTTCTGCCCTTCCGCGACTCTGGAAACACTCGGTTACTGGAACGGAACGGATTCTTGGGCCAGCGTCTGGAGCCTGGGGCCTCAGACTCTCTCTCCTGCCTTTTGGCTGAAATGGGCTCTCCGCTGTGCAGTGGGGGGAGCGGGGGGGCACGGGCTGGTACAGGTGACCTGTCCTGCGTCCCGGGGAGCTGGGATAAGTAAGGGCTGCCTTGCTGTCAGAGACAGCCTTCCCAGTTGAGGTGTTCATGGGATCAACGAGAACGAAATCATCTTGTGGTCACTCATCTCCAAGAGGCCATAACTCTCTAGAGAGAGTAGCCTTTTCTCAGAGCAGTGGGGGTAGGGGAGAAGGTGGGGTGGAAAGTGGGTAGAACTCATTCACAGTCTTGTCTCTAAAAGGTCCTGCCGTCTTGTCATCGTTCCCCTGTTTAAAGGCTGGAAATGCTTTCTTCCCTGTCCGAGGCAACCTAGCAGCTATAGAAATTAAATGTTCTGTGGTTTGGAAGTAAACTTCAGAGCAGTTTCTCTAAGCAAGGGGAGAGCAAGAGTTTCCAGATCTGCATGTGAAGATGTCACAGATCTGTCCCACTAACTAGACACCTTTCTCCTCCTCCTCATCGTCCCATTCCCTGCAGACGGGCAGCGGGCAACGTAGCCAGACCAGCTCCATCCCGCAGAAGCCCCAGACCAACAAGTCTGCCTACAACAGCTACAGCTGGGGGGCCAACTGAGGCCCTGAGCCTCTTCTCCTGGTCCCATCTTCTGAGAGGGCTTCTCAGCCTGGCAACTACGGAAACGGCATCAAAGAAAGGAATGTGGGGGGGGGGG